CGAGTGCTCGCTTGGTTTGCTCGTCACTGGCGCCGAGATGCCTGTGAGTCGAACCCGCTGCGGACGACGGATAATTCACAGGCGCATATCCCCCCCCGCAGAGGCTCTTACGCGCGTGTCGAGTGCCCAGATTGAGATTGAAACGGCCCAAAGGAAAGAGGTCATTCTCATATCGTGGCCTGCTTTGGGGGGCATTGGAGAGTGGGCGGGTGGAGAGGGTGAGGGTCGGCTGTCGGAGGCACGCGTGCCCCACGTCGCGTGCGGTTTATTCGGTGGCACCGCGTTGGCAGTGGTGCGCAAGCAACAGGCAGCTCGACACGTGCGTCGACTACGCATTCGGAATCGTAAAAAATAAAAATAAAAATGATGCCCCCCCACAAGGCCACGCGGGAGGGCGCATGGCGCAGTTTGGCGCCAGTTATCGTAGTTGTGCGGTGGTGTCGCTACGGTTCTCTGTCGTGAGTACGATGCTTAAAAATAAAAAAACGGCGCTTACGCCTCTCCAAATCAAATGAACGCTGAGCGGCTCCCGCGTTCCGAGATTCAGCGGTGAATGGGACCCCACCCCGCAGCTTGCAGATGTCTCAGAAGGGGAGAGGGTGAATCGGGAATAAATATATAACAGGCTACGGTTTTGGGGAATATTCCTACTTCATTAATGTGTCGTGAAGAATGGCGATGGTCCGAAACGTGGAATATTACAGCTTCGTTTGGCTTTTGAATGCCGCACGCACGAATGTGTATCCTGCGATACATATGTAACGACTCGACGACAAGTTATATGAAGAGCCACTTTGATTTGAAGACTTCCACAATCAGTGACCCTAGGCTTCGTGACTGACCTCCAGCTTGTATCTTCCTCCGAACGTCCCCACTCCCTCAGCCCCTTTTTCTCGAACCTTCTCGTCCTTGTTTTTTACCTCTAGCCAATCCCCGTCCTTACCCGTTAACGGATCCTTTTTGTTTTCCCGTTCAACCCCCTGATTCTCCAATCCCCTTTAAAAGTCAGCACTCTCGACCAATCAGCGTGGAGGCCTCTTTCCTCCAATCGGAGACCCCCACACGCAAGCGTACGCGTTTGAGTTACCCCCCGCCATGCGTACGTACTGAATGGATGGCCTCATATCCGACGAGTGAAACGGTAACGCAACTTCGTCTATTCCCCCCCCCCCTCCCCCACCAAACTTTAGCATCGCAAACGTACGGGTGAATGCGTGATAGTACTTAGCTGTGCGAGCCTCCCGTGGTGTAAATGGTTGGCACACTGGAACTTGCAATCCAGAGGTGTCATGTTCGATGCCGTCTCCTGTCGCAGCAGTTGAAACGAAGGTGCAGGTTCTTTGCTGTTGTTTTCACTCACCCACCTCCCCCCCCAAGCAGTATACATGGGGTGCACCTTAGTGCAGTGGGGTAAAGGGGCCGTCCATAAATGACGTCACGCGATTTTGGACGATTTCCCCCCCCCCCCCATCGTCACACGGCGTCACAAAAAGTCAGACCCCCCCCTCAAATATGACGTCACAAAGCTCTGCCCCCCCTCCTTCCAAATAATATAAAACATGCTTCAAATCGCTTTAAACTATTGTCATTGTAGTGCGTATTTAATGTGGCCCTGCACTCTGATGATGTTGTAGGAGAAAACATTTATCAAAAAATTGTATTTAATTAAATAGAACGTGTTGTCTATATTTATTTAAAGTTGCGCATTTTGATGCGACGTCACATTTCTCAAACCGCATCGTCACAAACATCGTCACACATGTCTGAACCTTCCCTCCCCGAGGCGCGTGACGTCATTTATGGACGGCCCCAAATTTGTGGATACTCCTCCCACTTCTTCCCAAGACGGCCGGCCGTCATGGGAAGAGTAGGCCAAGCAGACTTCTCGTGGGGGCCCTTCCGCTGGCAGTGGCTCGAGCAAGCACATGCGGGAGTGGTGGGGGAGTGGACAAACGTAGATTTATTGCACCTCTCACGTGGGGGGTAACGAGTGGGGTAACCCCCCTCTCTCATCTCAGCCTAGTAACACAAAGAGGCAGTGGGTGCCGTTTTGCAAAAAAAAAAAATAGGAAAATCTTTCTCTTGGGCACAACTTGTTTTTGTTTATCTTTTAATTGCCTTCGAGGTAGCTTTTATCTTCACCTCTCACCCATGCGTGCACTTAGTGTGGAATACCGAGGCAGTGTTGCATTTCGTTCAGGGGCAGCGACGCATCTATTGTATACAAAATCGTGCACAAGGTATATTTTACCGAGATAAACACAACATCGTTTGTTATCTGTAACATAATAATCCTATGGCCCACCCTCTGTTGAGCTGCTCATGAGAGTCAGGGTAAACAGGTAAAGGCGCAGCCCCTGCAGTTACTCGCTCATGCCCCTACTGGCCGAAGGGCCTCCAATGAGATTGAGCTCTGCAAAGGGTTCTCTCAGGGGGTATTTGGTAGGGCTGAGCGATAAATCGATTTCAAATCGAAATCGCAATTTGAAACAATGCGATCAGCAAATCGCAAAGGCTGCGATTTTTTTTGCGATTTGAAAAAGTCCTATTACTTACTTATTGGAATTTGTATTATTTTGTATTATTATAACTTTATTTATTTAACTTAACAATTCTGTTGTTGATTGTTCTATTTCAATTAAAACATATTAATAAAGGAATGTTGGAAGCAATTATTATCCTTTAAGTTCTAATCCTTGCATTATAATATATAGAGCAGTTCATAGTTTGATGGTATCACGTGGTAATGCTCCATCACATGTTTTAAGTGAATATTGAACTAAAGCTTGACTTAAAAAAATGTAATCGCAAATCAAATCGCAATATCTGTCAGAGTAATCGCAATTAGACATTTCCCCCAAATCGTTTAGCCCTGGTATTTGGCCAACTCAGATAAAGCATATTGGAAGGTGTGGCAGTCCCCACACTTTACGTGACCCACTTTACGTACGTTGAACTTCTTTCGCACCGTACGTAGCCAACCGCGCTAATCGAACGTGCGGGGGAAGGACAACAACACTAAACATTGAACCGTGCCTGTTGCTGGGTGGATTTGAGACGTTTGCATAATCGTTTCAGCTGCCACGTGGGAATATGGGATAAAACAGGCGACCCTTAGATTGCAGGTTCCCTTGTGTTGGTCGCGATGATAATAATAACAATAATATATACTCGGTTTTCTGTCGCGCAATGAATGACATGATGCCTATTCTGAAGGTGTGTTTTTTTTTGGAAGGGTTGGAATGATGGCAATTTGTACACCTAGAAATATCTGAAATCCGTAGTGTAGGGTTTCGGAGGAATAATCGGCGAGGGTAGGGGGTGGGCGACACATTTTGGCGAGGGAAACAGAGTGTGCAGAGAAGGCGTGCGATTGTCTCGTGCAGAAGCGAAATGGATATGCAGGGACATTCATTCACATTTTCAGTTCAACACGTAGGCTTTCGCGACCAATGTTATTCGTAATAAAGGTTCACATTTTACATACGGTATTTTATACAGTGCATGGAATCCTCCACTTACGAACGAGTTGGGTTACAGGGGTCTGTTCGTGCGTCGATTTGTTCGAAAGTCCAACTTTACTCCTGTCGATTCCGAACATGCCGTAAAGCATGTATACTAAACACGGGGAATGGCTTTACAAGTTGTATAGTCCCCTTTAGATGTAGATGCCACTGTTTTTTCACGTTCTGCAGATGTAGATGCAACTGGTTCTTCACGTTCTGCAGATGTAGATGCCACTTGTTCTTCATGTTCTGCAGATGTAGATGCCACTAGTTCTTCATGTTCTGCAGATGAAGATGCCACTGCTTCTTCACGTTCTGCAGATGTAGATGCCACTGGCTCTTCACGTTCTGCAGATGTTGATGCCACTGGTTCTTCATATTCTGGATGTAGATGCCACCACCGCCATCTATTGCACGGCGGTTGAACTTACGACTCTCGGTCCGGACAGGCAACTGGGCATATGGACACGTTTGTTCATATCTCTGAAAGTTCGTAAGTCGAATGTTCGTAAGGAGAGGAGTCTCTCTATGTATGTCGAACTCCTTTTCGCACCGTAGGTGGCCAGCACCACGGCCCGGCCGCCTTTGTCTCCCCAGTGGCGATGATTTTACACACCGCACCAGGTACTCATTTAAGTCGACCTAGGAGATGCCCAGAACCGGTTCAGATAATCGTCACTGGTGTTGGCCGTGAGCGGGAATGGAACTCAGGTAGCCGGGTTTGTAGCGCAGCGCGCTAACCACTACTCCCCATACATACACACAGGTGGACACAAAGACAAACAAAGACAAAGATCCCTCGTATAGCCTTAACAGATTGTTGGGGCAAGTGCTGTTAACGAGCACATATGAAGGCCAGAACGGCTCACGAGGGGGTCGGTGGCCAGCACCACGCCCGGCCGCCTTTGTCTCCCGAGTTGCGATGTTTTTACGCACCGCCCCAGGTATTAATTTGAGTCTGAGTCGACCTAGGGGAGGCCCAGGACCGGTTCAGATAATCGTCACTGATGTTGGCCGTGAGCGGGAATGGAACTCGGGTTGCCGGGTTCGTAGCGCAGCACGCTAATCGCTACACCACCGCTCCCAGGTAGACACACACACACCGCTACACCACCGCTCCCAGGTAGACACACACACACCGCTACACCACCACTCCCAGGTAGACACACACACCGCTACACCACCGCTCCCAGGTAGACACACACACACCGCTACACCACCGCTCCCAGGTAGACACACACACACCGCTACACCACCACTCCCAGGTAGACACACACACCGCTACACCACCACTCCCAGGTAGACACATACACACCGCTACACCACCACTCCCAGGTAGACACACACACACCGCTACACCACCACTCCCAGGTAGACACACACACCGCTACACCACCACTCCCAGGTAGACACACACCGCTACACCATCACTCCCAGGTAGACACACACACACACCGCTACACCACCACTCCCAGGTAGACACACACACACCGCTACACCACCGCTCCCAGGTAGACACACACACACTGCTACACCACCCACAGCTGACTTGCATTCATGATGCCGCGTGAGCTGTGCGAGTGCTGCCGCCCGTGCTGCTTGCTATTGTAGTCACGCGTGTGGCGTATCTTGGGCCCCCCGCTGCAAAGCTCGCGAGATTAAGGTCGGCCGAATGTTTCTGGCGGCCTTAATTAACCCGCTTCAGGCTGAGCCATAGCAGAGAGCAGCCCGTCCCTTATCTACACGGGAAGCCACCCGGCATTCCATTCAACGGCAGCTCTCGGGGCATAGCGACAAATGCAATGCATTTATAATACATTGTTTGTTTTGCAAATGATCTAGTCGGGAGGCACAGTGGAGTTGTGAGCTTGCGACTCACAGTCATAATGGCACAGGTGCATCTCAGCAGTGGCTTACTCGGAACGTCTTGACTGGAGAAAGCTCCAGGGAGCATTTTGCTCCGACTCTTCAAACTCAAAGTGGACGCCGTGGAAGAGGTGGGAGTTAATCCATCCATTACCGCACCGCGCACGACCTGCCAATAGACCTGCTGTAGTGTACACCGTCTCCTTTTTCCAGCTGCCACCGAGACTCTCATTTATTCCGACCATCAAATCTGGCCTTGACTTCTCTACGGCCTCACCAAACCCCACGCTTAAAAAGCCACACGAACCAAAATGCCGCTGCCAGACTCCCCACCTGCGACTGTAAATGAGACGACGCCATCCCGATACTCGAATATCTCCAATGGCTCCTACTCCAATCCTTTATCAATTTCAAGATTGCACTCACCATCTTCAAGATGCTCCGTGGACTGTTCCCTGCCTCCCTCCCCACTCTCCCCTCTCATCTCACTCCACTCTCCTCCACACATTCGCTTGCCTCTCCCCTCTCATCTCACTCCACTCCCCTCCACGCACTCTCCTACCTCCCCCCTTTCATCTCACTGTATTCCCCTCCACACTCTCTCTTGCCTCTCCCCTCTTATCTCACTCTACTCTCCACGCTCTCACCTACCTCTCCCCTCAATGCACTCTCTCATGCCTCTCCTCTGTCATATCACTCCACCGGCCGTCACACTATTCTACCTCTCCCCTGTCATCTCGCCATCCTGCCCTCGACACACTCTCCACTCTAGCTACCAAGGTTTTTTGTTGAATCCCACAAACACCATTCGCTCATCTGGAGGTCGCCCGTCCTCTTCTGCTGCCCTTCTTGTCTGGAACTCCCTTCCTTCAGCCATCCGTGCTGTCAACTGCCTATCACCTGTCAAAGTCTAAGTTCGAAACCATCCTTTATTTGTCTGCCTATGACTGACTGCTGCCTCTCTCTCTCTCTCTGTCTGGCAGGTACAATGACGTATCCTTTTCTCCAATGTACAGCATCTTCAGATACGGTTGCATTTAGACGCGATATAAAAATACATTTGTATCCCATGCTGATCACAGCAGTGGTAGAACTTCCACTTATTCTGACAAGCGCGGAGAGATGTAATTAGCACAGCTTCAATATTATCGATGTGTGTTTGTGCAAACATCACTGTACCGTGATATAGCTACTTCTACAGTAATTCACGAGTGACAGTGAAGGCAGATTTTTATTTATTTATTAATGAATTGCAGGTTAAAACTTGTAATTTGCCTATGATTACAATGATTAATTTGTGACTGATTTACTGCTTTTCCAATAACACTGATTACGAATCTCACCGATGTGCTCTCGGGTTCTACCGCGTGTTGCTGGGCACAATATCCCACTGTTCCCATATTCAACACGACACGTACATACGTACGTGTCGTGTTGAATAACAACAACACGTACGTACGTGTTATTGTTGAACTTCTTTCCCACCGAAACTAAGCCAACCGTACTAATCAGAGGTGCGGGGGGGAAGAGCAACACACACTAAATATTAAAAAAATCAGTTCTAAAGAAATTAGTTTTCTAGACTTAAATGTGCACAGCTCCAGTGGCTTCTTTATATCGGAAGGAAGAGCGTTCCAGACGGGCGCAGAAGCGCGTCTCAAAGCACGCGATGAGGTCACCGTCTTACTTCGATGGCGGCAGCCAAAAGCCGCCGCTGCGAGGTTCATGCTCCTTGAAGAGACCAGCGAGATATTGCGGTTCATTAGTGGCAAGCGCTTTGCGTGTAATGAGTGCGACCTCATCACCGGAATGAGGTGCCGTTGCACGCGGTGACATTATCCTGGGAAGGGACGGAATGCCGAGACACCCCTACCCCACGTGAAGACGGCACACTGACTTCCCATTTACTACCGTCCACTGTTCTTATACAGTATACCTGACACGAGTCTTTACATCTCTTCATGTCCTTATCTTGTCTGTCTCATGTCCGAGCATGTCCCCTCTCATCCTCTTCATTGACAATCTTCTCTGTCTATTTCTGTCCCTCCTCCCTGTGCCCAATCCTGCTTTTGCTCCTTATCCACCCCATCCACTGGAATCAACTCCCCCTATACATTGAGTAGCACTGACCATAGCCTCGACACTGCCCATAGACTCAACACTGAGACCTATAGAATCAACACTGCCCAAAGATTCAACACTAAGACCCATAAATTCAACGCTGAGGCCCATAGACTCAACACTGCCCGTAGGCTCAACACTGCCCATAGACTCAACATTGCCCAAAAACTCAACACTACCCATCGGCTCAACACTGCCCATAGACTCAACACTTCACCTGTATGTTGAGACCCCCCCTCCCCCCTCGACCTTCTATTCCTCTGTTAAAGCTCCACTTCTTCTCTATCGCCCATTCCCATCCTCTTCCACGCTATTGTCCCTCTACTCCTTCCTATCTCTCCCCTACCCTTTCGTGATCCCTAAGTAACTCTCTATCGATGTCCCTTATTCCTCAACCCTTGCACGCCCCTGCCATCTAAATCATTTCATTCTGTCACCGTTTTTCAAACTATGTCAAGCGCCTTGGGTGAAGGCGTTTCACGAATATATAAAATATTAGATTAGATTTACGGCAGAGGCAACATGGGGAAGAGTGCCGCAACTGCTCCCAAGAACAGGACGATGCGGGCTTCTATTACGGAGGAATTACACGTCCGTGCCAAAGCCCCTCCACCGGGATGTATAGAAGTATCTATGGGACATCCCGAGTCGGTGATGGATCAACCAGTCCAACTTGAGCTGCTCCACTCCAACCATGTGCTTCCGAGAGAAGGATACCAGCCTCCACCTTGTTCCCCGAGGCCAGAGAGTGAGAATCGTTCTCTAATGATGAGGCCCTTGGGTGAGCCATCGGCAGAAAGAATAGCGTCCGTACGCATGGGTCCCAGCCTTGCCAGATGCCAGATCAGGTTCTCCAGATCAGAATCTCAAGTGACTGCCACCAACGGACATTGCCGGAGATGGTGGCGTGCTGTGCCCTTGCTGTGCTGACCCACCCGTCTTGCCCGTGTATCGTTTGTTACCGATGTGACTCGGTCGTTAATTTTTGTAAGGGATTAACCCACGAGTTCAGTAGCGTAGATGGATGGTGTCAATATATAATGTTATTGTTAAACAACGAACGGGCCAAGTGCACATGCATGTAGTTGACTATAGTTAATGAAGAGAGTGGATGGGTGTTGTCCCACCTGAAGGCTATTGTGATAAGGGAAACGATAGGTGATCAGGGAAGTGATAGGCGACGTGAGAGAGAGAGAGAGTGTGGGTAATGTGCAATGTGCGGAAGGATGCGCGCCGTAAGAGAAATCGTCTTTTAAGGACGTGGGATGGCGGGACTGTAGGGGACTGGAGGAGAGCGCATGGTGGAAGCCATTTTGTTGCTGGTACAATGGCGGCCATTTTATGTGTGCGCTCTTGGGAAGGCCACGGCGTGGAGGGGACTGACTGAATCGTTATGCCCCCGTCTCATTTTTATAGATGGAAATAAACCTCGTGTTGGACATTGGAATACAGATGCTTCTGGCGCCTTTATTCAGGTGTGGCATCGGGATACATTTGTACGGGTTTAACATATACATGTTGGGGAATATATTGAAATAATAATAGCTTTTAGGATTTTTTTTTTTACAGCTGTAAGCATAGACTAAACTACATTTGCACCACTTTGCAGCTTTTTCGCATCAGTCGGAAATTCACATCAGTCACTCAGCCATTGGCAATCATATGTACGCATTAGATATCGGTGACATATTTCATTGTAAATCCTTTATTTATAGCCGGGTGAGAAACCATCTAGTGATGCGATGTTTCTCAGGGTGACATACAAATGCATATAAATGATATTTGTGAGGGCTTGAATAACTGACTGCATCAGTTTCCACTGACATTTCCCTTGCTGCCTGCTGTTCACCGCCTCCCTCTCTTTAAATACACAAACTCTCCTCCATTGCTTGTGATTGATTGCCAAGCCACCCTTTACTCGGACCTGTCAACATCTTGGCCAGCCAATGGAGGTGCTGTAAGAGTTGAGGTGGCCGGGTGGCTCGGAGGTCAGACAGCTGAGCTAGGACTAATGAGATTCCGAGTCCGTAAACCAGGTTTCAGTCGCCCGTGATTATGCTGGGTTCCCAAAAAATGGCTGCACTGCTCTGCGAGGATTCCGAATGCATGATTAGTTTCATGACGTTACACTGATACCACAATTGGTACCAATGTTGGGGGGCGAGTACATAAGAAACAGTAAATAGGCACCACTTTGTTGGAATTAAGGAGTGTTTGCCCTATGTATGTATGTTAAACTTCGTTCACACCGTAGGTAGCCGACCGTGGTTATCGGAGGGCCTATGCATCTAGGATGACCAAGGAACAAGTACTGTATCGTGATTGGAGTCTGCCACACGTGGTTCATGCTTGGTGGAGCCAGAAGATGCATTGTTGTTTTTACGCATGGTGTCAATATAATTTAAACTTCTTTAATATGTGATACGAGTGCTCACCATCTGTTATCTGTGCAATGTCTGTGAGTGTGATGAATATTTTGTTTTCTTTTTTCTTTGGGTTGTTTGTGACTGGATTAAGACTACCAATTTAAATATTCGACAATTCCTTTTCACATCCATGGAGTCAAATAACAATGTTGTGTGCTATGGTTCTCTTCATAGGGAGACAACGCTGGTGCCTTTCCATGACGGCTTTTATTTTATTGATGGCAGCGTGATCATTTTTTTTTAAATTACCCGCAAAGAAATTACTCAAATGGCTCAACATAACAATCCTTGCCCCACCCCTTACTGGCAGACTAATTGCCACGTGCTACTGGTTCACCTCGTGGCTTCGATGCTGGCTTACCTTGTGCTACACTGGGACAGCAGCCATGGGGGTGCCCCTTAATTTTTTTAAGTTGAGGCGTGATAGAAGTCAATAACAGCATACAACGCGCTCTGAGATGCCTTGACGCAAAGGGAGTTGCCAAAAAGTGTATTATCTTGGGCAGCATTAGCCCCTAACTGGGATTTATACCGTCATCTTTTTTCACTGATTGCAAGTCAAGCCCTCTCTGCCACAGCGGCACCTAAGCAACTGTCAGCTCCGTTTACCCATATATGAAAATGCTTAAAAATAAAATAGTCAGTCATCCTTGGCAACTGAGAGGATTGTTTTCAACTCGTGACAATCAAGAAAAAAATGTACCAACGCTCATCTATTACAGCTTCAACGGTGCTGTTTGTTGCTGGGCGCTTGGAGTTTTTGGGCCCTCTGGTCTGTGCTCAGAAACCGCGACTTAAAAAATATAACAATGCTGATAACACAACTGGCGTAAAATTGTGAAAGGGTGTTTTATTTAAACGTTAAGAGAATGCGAGCGATGAAGCGGTGGTTCAGTGGTTAACGCACTGCACTCTGAGCCTGGCGTCCTGAGTTAGATTTAGCAACGGCTAACATCAGTGGCACTGACCAGCGTCGTGAGGTCCAGTGAATACGAAACCACGGTCAACATGACATAGGGAAGCCATTATCCATCGGTCGATTGAGAATAGCCGTTTTCTTTTCTTTCTCTCAGACTCAATTTAAAAGGAAATGAGAATCCGGTTTATCTGAAATAACTGCAAAGATTTTGAATCCATGATCTCAGGGGGGTATGGGATTCGTATGCACATCGGCATAGCATTGTTTGCTTAAGCCACCCGGGCTATACCTCCTAGATCATCAACATACGGTATTAATAAAATATGTTTGCTTTATCTTGCCTCTGCTTGAGATTGCTCGGCTTGTGATCGATTCAAAACAGCGAGTGATTTCGCATTTGACGTGAGAAACCGTTTGATTGTTAAATGGGAGTGGTTATTCCGAAATATGAACGCCTTCAAGATTGGACCACGTGGCTCAGCGGTTGAGTGAAAGGCTCGAAATCCGAATGTCGAGAGATTAATTCGTAGTTGGGGTGTGTGACCATCATACCACCAGGGGTGGATAAAACAAGTCACACTTCGTGGATAAGTCATGAGCGGTTGTGCTTTTTGGATAGACTCACCCCCGCCATAGGAATGTAGAATTTCCACCACTGTCTCAGGACTGTAGATAGGCGATAAACAACCCTCGATGATCACTTGAGCGGGGAACCACTTTGACTGTTGACTTGACTGCAAAATGCAAAATTATGAGAATTGGCTGAAAAATGTCAATGGAATATTTGCTCTGGCAGGTACGATACAAAGATCACAAATTTATATTTATAGTTTCAAGATAAATGTAAGTTGATAACTTTCCACAAAAATACGTGTGTGTGAAAACAAACTCACGCATGGGGAGCGGTGATTCAGTGGTTAGTGGTGAACTGTGCTATGAACACAGCCACGGATTTCATTTGCGGCGAGTTCTATCTGAACCAATCCCGAACACCCCCTCTTCACGAACCCGCAATGACCAGCGTGGTGAAGTATGGTCAAACAACCCCCATGACTGACGCGGTGTGTGGGGAGGTCTTCATCCAGCAGTGGATTAATTAGGGCTGTAAATGAATATAACTCATTGAGACAGAAAAGTAAACACATTTATAATCGGGTCAAAAATCACTCTTGCCTCCTCTGCAAATAAACAGAGAGGATGTTTCATATGTCAGTAGAACCAGTGGCGGAAATGCCACCCTCCTGTGTCATGAAGCAGTCTCCATAATCAGACTCACCTGTTGACCTCCCTCTAAGCGGTTCTCATTTTATGAAACCCAGAACGATGATTGTCCAATTAGACCCACCCTGACCAGGGGTCGAATTCACAGCCTAAAATTTTACAATCAAATGTTCTGCCTTGTAACCACCTGACCATATCTAAGCACATAGTTAAGCAAATGGGGCTAGGCATGGAAGGGAATAAGAAGGACGCTTGGTCTGGGTCAGGTGATACAGTACTAATGGGATGTTGGTTCACTTGATGCATCCAATCTTTGTTTTGTGCCATACGTCTGAGACTGGTGCTCTGTGCTGCCCATGATTGTGTTTGTCCATTCTATCAGCTATTAGTAATTCAGATGCATTGAGCCTTGCCTACATCTGTCAAGAAGCCTATCGCCAGACATGCATCACTGCTGGGCGCGCGGTCCACTCTGAAGGGAACAACGGTAATGACCACCGTTATTTATTTACCTTAACTGGCTTTTGGAGGCTTATTTATTTGGCTTGGCTTGGGAGTCCAGCCTTTTGGGTTTGAGCTGACTCGCATACTCGAAGAGTGCAAGTTCAAATCCTCACTAGGATCGACTCGACACTAAGACAGATTGAGTACCACTTCTGTGGGATGTCCCCAGCGGTATTCCCGTCTTGAGAGACTGACACGTGTATCTGTTAAAGGGAAAGGGCAGCCCTGCGATTTCATTCTAATGCCACCGCTGACAGAAGGGCCTCCATTTGAGAGAGCTATAAACTAAACGACTGCGCTATTTTTTTTTATTTTTCCAGGTAAGGCCCACTGAGCTATATAGCTCTTTTTCAGAAGCGACCTGGCCCAAAAGTGCCTTCTCATGTGGAAATGAATATCAGCAGCCAGATACTCTAAACGCGTGATGTGGATTCTAAATGCAGAGGGAAATACTGGAGAACCTGGGGGAAAAACCCATGCGGCCACGGGAGGAACATTCAGACTTCAAATATACAAGTGTCAGGATTGGGATCAAAACCCGCGATCTCCTGGAAAACTAGGCGAGTTAGTTAACATCTCGCCACCAGCTATATATAGAGCTCTCTCTAAAGTTGGTCTGATGCTGTTCTTCCACCCTAGCCATACATTTTGGGTGAGCCGGTGGTATTACCCGTGCTTCAACCCAGCACACGTGACCTTGCTGATCGACCCATTATTAAGGCGAGGGTGGAGTTGTGGTGGTGGTGGTGGTCGGGGTCGTGGCGGCGTCGGATTTAAGAAACTTGCGCCCTTGTTTGAATTACCTTGCCGAGAGATCAAAGCGGCGACCTCTGGATTGCAAGTCCAATGGTGGCAACCCGTCACGTGACGGCGGTGGTGTCTACACCCCATTGAGAATCAGAGACAATTGTATGCATTCAGGTCGTCAGTCGCTCGTGAGCTTGCTGCTTGGGGTGCTTTCGCCGATGTTGCGTCGCGCGCGCACTGCATCTTTGTTTTCCCGCACGTGGAATGATTTTGTTGAGTGCCTGAAAAGAGAAACCTCATGCAGATGGGGGAAGAAGTCAAGACACAAGTATGTATGCGGCCTACTTGTTGAGCTGCTTTCACTGGCAGTTGTTTGTCATGCACATGCGTGTCTCAGTATGGTTCCATCCGTTTGTGGTCCGCCAACCCCACCTCAGTCTAGGCTTGTAAAGGATACAGGTATGTAAAGTTGCATGTACGTATGTTGAACTTCTTTCGCACCGTACGTAGCCAAGCGTGCTAATCGGAGGCGCAGGGGAAGGACAACAAACTAAACAAAAACATCAGTTCTAAAGAAATTCGTTTTTAAACCGTGATCTAAAATTGCAAAGCTGCAAGTGGCTTCCGAATATTGGAAAGAAGTAGGGAAAAAAAAGCGGAGGTGGGGGGAAATGTACGCATTCATGAACATTATTAAACGTATTCTTGGTTCTTTCGGTAAAGTCACGTAGAAGGGAAATAATAAAATAATAAAAATAAAACAATTAAATTATCACGACGTTCCGATTGCAACACAAGCAATCTTCATCAGGTGTGAAAACCATAGCAAGAAAATTTGAAAAAAGAGTGTCTACAACCCATATTTCAAATTTTATTGTTTTATTAGCATTATTTGATTATTTTATTATTTCCCTTCTACGTGACTTTACCGTAAGAACCAAGAATATGAATCCCTGCAGACACGAAAGCTTTAAATCGAAGTTACTAAACGTATTGAGTGGCTGTGCAGGTTAATGCCCACGTCATACTTAATCATCTCCCAGGGGGTTGTTGTCTGTGTTGATGCCATGCAGGAACGATCGTGCCTGTACACAAACCCCAGGGCGAAAGCGTTCGGGGTCTGATTTTTGTGTCACTAAGAAGTTATCTCTTTTGAGAGACTTGGCTTTGTCACAATATAAAATACAATTCTAATAGCACCATCATCATCAACAACCATAGTCTTTCGTTGACATAACCGAGAGGCCATTAAATCGGTTATCGTGCAGTTGATAAATATAAATCATAAGCTGCAGTATACTTTCCTACAAAAAAAACATTTGACGGAACAAAAAAGTAATTAGTTGTCTATAAACCCCAGGGAGATGATAGAGGCTGAGTTGATTCATAATCAAGATGTGAGTTCACTTTGAATTCAGTCAAGTGCTCTACTCTAACACATACTCTTGCGATAACAATAATGGCAACAGCAATTAAACAAATTCATATTTCCAATTCAATGTGTTCCCTTAAACAGCATAACGTGAACTGAATCTCAGCTCCTGTGCAGTGACGCACGCGGTGGTTTAAATGTCAAAACATCGTACCGCGTAAGACTGCGGGTACAACCTGAAAACCCTACGCAGTGGTAAACATAAAAAAACACAACACACAGAAAACGCAATTAAAATGCCATTAAGCACATTACTGACTCTAACAGCTCGCGGCGGTTGAGCTATTTGATAAAGGAGAGCTCAGGAGAATGTGGGGGTTGCGTTTATTGCACATCGATGAGGTTGAAACCCAGCCATCAAATTTGGGCAGAGCGCACGACAGAGCCCCTTCGCTGGGTCCCTATGGGCCGGCAGTGCTCCATTTAAATGCCTCTCTGCGTTGCCCGGGCGTCGCACTGTGCCTGGCGGCTTGCGTGCAAACAACAGCCTTAAGAAAGCAGATGGTCGACACATCCTGCCAGATTATAGCTCTTGCCTCCAAACAACTCTGACGGCCACGCGAAGCGCGCAAAATTTGGGCGGACGTTTCGAACGATGTTGCGGTGCCTTACCTGGGGTGGACCACCCAGGCCCAACCTTCGCTGCACTTCATAGAATTCTACAGCCTTGGCGGCCGGGTTTATTGATGGCTCAGCACTCGCTCGCCGGCTGGCAATTGCCCGCTGTTGTCGCTGCTACTGACCACTCTGAGGACTCGATCTTGCCGGACTGTTTTAATCTGATCCACGCTGTGTCTATCCACTCTACACCGTAGGTCACTGCACTTCTTTAACCCAAGCAACAACTCATGATGATCATGATCAATTCAACAAACACGCGAACTCTTGTCTACAGCAACTTTAACGCGTTGCTGTTTGTTGCTTTAACTTTTTTTTGGGGGGGGGGGGGGGGTGGGGGGGGGTAGCTTGTACTCAGCAATTGCGATGGTAATAATTATTGTAAAAAAAACCAAGCCCTGTGGTTGTAAAGGTGGTGGTGGTGGGCATAGATATTAGCTTCAACAGCCGTGAAGACAAAGGTAAAGCCCTGCTATTGCTCGCTCGTGCCACTGTTGGTGGAAGGGACCCCGGCTTAGATCAGTGGCTCTTCTTAACCTGGGGTGTACCACGCACACCCTGGGAGTGCGAGATGCCCTCTCTGGCGGTGCGAGACGTGGTCAGACTTTGTTTAGAAGGTAAATTAATCGAAAACACAAACTAAGCACGCGGGCACGTAAGTTACAACTACTCTTTGGTTATTTTGGGTAAAGTCACGTAGAAAGAAAATAAATTAAATAATAGAATACGACGTTTTTGATTGCAACACAAGCAGCCGTCATCAGGTAGAACTAAATTTGAGAGAGAGACAAAACACAGACACGGAGACACACATACAGACACACACGCAGAGAGACAACACAGAGACACAAAGAGAGAGAGAGACACACACAACATAGACACACAGAGATCCAATGGATTTGTGTCGATACATTTTTTTTTACGATTGAAAACCAACATGGGTGCAAGCCTGCAGTGAACGTTTAAGAACCACTGGCTTAGAGGAAGC